TGGGGTAGTTTGCCTGACCTGCTAGGTGGCTGTCGTCCCTAGAGGGGGTCCTTGAGTCTGTGTAGTGGGGTGCCAGATGTTGTTGGCACAGCTGTTTCTCTTCCTCCAGAAGGAGTGGTGCACTAGCTGGCCCTGCCTGCTTCCGGACCCACTGTCTCCTTTCCTTTTTATGTTAAAAAAAATTTTTTTTTTAGTTTATTTATTTTTGAGACAGAGACAGAGCATGAGTGGGGGAGGGGCAGAGAGAGGGAGACACAGAATCCGAAACAGGCTCTAGACGCTGAGCTGTCAGCATAGAGCCTGATGCGGGGCTTGAACCCACGAACCGTGAGATCTGACCTGAGCCAAAGTCAGGCGCTTAACCGACTGAGGCACCCAGGCGCCCCCGCTGTCTCCTTTCCCAAAACTTGGAGGTGTGGGAACTATATGTATTCCCACATTACTGCAGCCCAGGAAGAATGGGTCATTTAATCTGGGCCATAAAGCTGGGAGGTGTCAGGGGAAGCACAGTTACTCAGGTCTGTCTGATACCAGAGGTCTCATAATCACTGGCACCTGCCAAATCAGCCCAAGAGTGTAGTGGCTTCTCCCTAGAGAATTTTGGAGGGGTCCCCTTACCTCACAGGCTGCCGTGCAAATGCCTACCTACCCCTGGGGTAGACCAGTTGTTCTCACACCTGGCTGTGCCTGAGGATGATGGGAGGGTACATGAAAATACAGACAGCTGGGCTCCACTCCTTCCCCATTCTAGAGGTCTTGGAAGTGGGCCTGGGAACATGCATTCCTAACAAGTTCCTAAGTGATGCTGCACTTGCCAGCCCCGCAACTACTCTTTGACAACCACTGGGGTACCCCAGTCCTGCTCAATGGAAAATCTGCCAAAGTAATATCATTTCAGTGCCTGCAGGCTAATTACAGAACTCTAGCTTCTAATTCTCTTTAAATTTTGAAAATTCTTCTTTAAGTGAAAGGTAACAAACATTACCTCAAGTCTTAAGGGTTCTAGTGCTTAAAAAAAAAAAACCAAACTAGGCCAAAGACAGTATGACAAAAAAATCATCTGGGTGGTGGGCACATGGGTGTTGGTGAATCTCTGTGTTTTTCTGTGTGCTTAAAATTGTTCAAAATAAATGTTAACGTAAGGAAGGACGAAGGTTGTAAAGTGAACCTCTGGTCCAGAGCCCCAGCTTCGGGGGAAAGCATCTCATACCTGAAGCCTCCTCCCGGCTCACTGGAGGGGAAGTGTTGGTGTTTGCCAGCGCCATGCTGTCCAAACCTGCCGCGCCTGCAGACACACTCAGCCCTGTGGCATGCTTTGAGAACAATGCTACCATTTCAGTTTGTTTGTTTGCCTATGGGACATTTAGATGTCTGTCCTTCCACGTCCCTGTTGAGGTGAGCGCTGAGCCCTATTTGAGTGGTTTTGTTCCAGGCATGCCTACCTCTGCCCCCTCCAGCTCAGGGAGGCGGTTCTTTACTGGAGAAAGGCTGAGATGCTGAGGGAGGGACTGTGTTTCCTCCCTTGAAAAAGTCCCTCTCATTCAGAAGTCCCACCTGCCTCCCCAGCGCCCTCTGCTGGGGCCACTGTTAGCTTGTTCCCTTCTCTTGAGCTGCTTCATTTCTTGATGAAATTGCACCTCAAATGTTCCAGCCAGGGGGTGTTTCTGCCTCTCCCTTCTCATCCTTTTTAAAATGCAGGTTGAGGGTGCCTGGGTGGCTCAGTCAGTTGAGTGTCTGACTCTGGATTTCAGCTCAGGTCATGATCTCATGGTTCGTGAGTTTGAGCCCAACATCGGTCTCCATGCAGACAGCGTGGAGCCTGCTTTGGATTCTCTCTCTCTGCCCCTCGCCCGCTCATGCTGTCTCTGTCTCTCTCGAAATAAATTAACGTCCATAAAATAAAATGCAGCTTGAGAAAACATAATAATGGCAATTTATAATAATAATTTTACTCTCCTTTCTGCCCTGCCAGCTTCTACCATCTCTTCCCAAGAGTGTCGCAATAGCCCAGAATGGGTCTCCCTACCTCTCCCCTTGCTTCCCTGTATCTCTCCTCAGCACAGTGGCCAGAGGGAACCTATTAAGATGTAAGGCAGATCACATCACCCCTGTTACAAACCCTCCGATAGCTTCCATTCTAATTCTAGAGAAAAAGACATAACCCTTATAAAACCTGAGATGACCTGGCACCCTGCCCCCTCCTCTACACACTCTCCTCTCTAACCAGTTCTCCTCTTCCCTCTCCCTTAGCTGACTCATCTCATTCTTGATGGCCACATCCAGTGCCCCAGGGACTTTGCATTCACTATATATATCCTCTGCCTGGATCACTCTTCCTCCAGAAATCCGCACAGTTGCCTTTTCTCACCTCTGTGAGGTTCTACTTTATCCTCAGATCTACTTTGTGCAATTTTATCATGCAGGCCCTCCCTATAGCCCTGTTGCAAAGAATAATCCCATCTCTTTGTGCTGCCCATAACTGCTTCCTTTTTCTCCATGGTACTGCTCACTGCCCGATGTACTGTATATTTTATTTGTGTCTCCCCTATTAGAATATGAGTTCCATGAGAGCAGAGATTTTTCTAGGGCCTAGAAGAGTGCCCTATAGTGGCACTCCAGTATTAAGTGAATGATAGCTATATTTATCGAGTGCTTACCATGTACTAGGCTCTGTTCTAAACACTTTGCATTTTATAGACGGAGAGATAGGCACAGAGAGGTTGAGTCAGGCTACCTGTAAATCTACAGAGTGTAGAAGATGCTTGGGTCACATAAATAGTACCTCTGAGTTAGGGTTCTCCAGGGAAACCGGACCAGCAGGGGTAGGATAGGGGTATGTAAATACATGAATAGAGTGATTGACTAATTTTAAGGAATTGGTTCATATGATTATGGGGGCTTGCAAGCCCTAAATCTGTAGGACAGGCAGACTGGCTGGAAACCCAGGGAAGATGATGTGGCAGTCTTGAATCTGAAGGTTGTCTGGAGGCAGAGTTTCTTGTTTCTTAGGGGGACTTCATTCTTTTCTCTTAAGGCCTTGAACTGATTGTACGAGACTCACCTGCATCATGGAAGGTAGTCTGCTTTACTCAAAGTCTGATTTAAATGTTTATCACGTCTAAAAATATCTTCACAGTGATATTTAGATGGGTGTTTGGCCAAGCAACTGGAAACTGTAGCCCAGCCCAGTTGCTGCATGAAATTAACCATTGCCACCTGTGAGGAGGTGTTGTATGTTGGTCAGGCAGATCTTGCTCCCTTCATCTGCAAGATCCATCCTACCTGTCCGGATGGGCTGAAGAGAGTGGGGTGGGGAGGGGCAGCTCCAAAGAGTCTGGTGCTCAGGAATTTCCAATCTTAGCAGGAGTTCTCTGACTTGAAGATCACCCAAGCCCTAGGGTGTTCTCTTCCTCCTGTGCACGGCCAGCTAAGTGGTGGAGCTCTAGCTCATCACCTCTCCTCACCTTTGTCTCCGCAGAAGCCTAGTCTTCTAGATAATGCGTCATACACAAGAGTGGAATGGTCCTTGGTCACACCTAGGTTATGGAGGAATTGCATCTGCTGAGTTGGGGGCCCAGGCCCGTTACCCCTGTTCTGGGCTGAGGTGAGGAGGGCAGGCCTGGGCCTATGGCAGCCAGCAGCCCATGGAGACTGCCCCTTGTTCCTGGCACAACTTCTAGCGATGTGAGTCATGGGTGGGGGGCAGACCGGAGGCATGAGAAGACAGTGGCCCAAGTCCAGTGTCCGGCCTCATGACCGGGCAAACCACCTAATGTCTCTGAGCCTCAGTCACCAGATTGGTAATGACAGAGATGATCATGCCAACCTGGCCTGTTGTAATGAGAGTTAAATGGGGCTCTACTTGTGTTTCTGCCATTGTGTTAAGGCTGGAGCCATGAGGACTGCATCAAGTGTAGGTAGGTCCCGTGTAGATCCAGAGAAACTGTACATCCACACTGGCCTCAATGCTGGAGGACTGACTGGGTGCAATGGGCCCCACTCTGAGCCAGTGGGGGCAGCCTGCCCACTGCCAGAAAAGGCCAGAGCCCTTTTAAGAGCCAGAGCCTTGGTTTTCCTGTGATGCTCATCCTGTGATGCATGGTGGCCTGGGTCCCACAGAAACCTTCACGGGCCACCATGTTCTCAGGGTTTATCTAGGTGCTCCTCAGATCTAGCAGCCATCACCATTCAGCATGAGCATCCAAGGGCCCCTTGGACAGGCCTGAGTCCCTGTGGTGGACATTATACTCGGCTGTGATGCAGGAGGAATGGCAGGGAGGTCGGGGGCATCCTGCTTTTCTAAGTTGTCACAGTAGCAGCACACACACGTAAGGGTCTGTTTCACGGTACAGCGGTCCCCTTTCTCTACCACACCTTCCGCTCCCCCCCCGAGGGGACTGCTGTAGAGGTCCTGGACGTATGTTTCCACAAGTGTCTATAGTGTCTATCCATCACACTATAGGTATTTTGTTCTTCAGCTCTGTTCCTTACCATATCCCTTTGTTCCTTAACATTCCCCCTTTTTAAGTCCTGTCCACACTGGACTTAAAATATAATAAAAAGCTACACCTAGCTTTTATTGTATACTACTTTTCATCATATTTCTCCACTTAAAATATTTCTGCTGTTGTCGTAATTATTACTGTAATGTCCACATCATTTCCCGCCATAACCAACTACACTCTCTATGCCATGAAATATCTTTGGCTGTATCTTGTTGCTTCTGTGGGATTATTTCCTCAGAATTCATTGTTAGGGTCCACATGTTGTGTTAAAGGGGGTACACATTTATTTCTGTTACTGTTCAGACTTACCTCTCTCCTGAAAGGTTTTATCAGTGTACCATGCCATGCAAAATGCTTTTGGGGGGCGGGGGGGTGAAGTGGTGCAGGGGGATTACCATTTAAACACAGTTGGAGAGATGGGGTATGGAGAAGACTCAGGAAAAAGACCTGCTCACAGTGGCTGGGAAACATGACAGGTTTTCTCTGTCTCCTCAGCACAACCAGCTCCACAGCCAGTAGCTGCGACACCGAGTTCACTAAGGAAGATGAGCAAAGGCTGAAGGATTACATCCAGCAGCTCAAGAACGACAGGGCCGCGGTCAAGCTGACCATGCTGGAGCTGGAGAGCATCCACATCGACCCCCTCAGCTACGACGTTAAGCCCCGGGGGGACAGCCAGCGGCTGGACCTGGAAAACGCAGTGCTAATGCAGGAGCTGATGGCCATGAAGGTACGTGGGGCTGGGGCCCCCTGGAACCCTATACCCATTTGCTTCCATGTCAATAGGAGGAGAAAGGCAAAGGACCTCTGAACACAGGTCAGCGATAATGATAAATCAACCCCGTCTGGGTTCAGTCACCTCCCTCTGGAGGACAGCCAGAGAGCCTCATTCGTGGGCAGGAATAGTTTCAGTGTGTCTGGGGTCACCTGGGCTGGACATGTCCCTAGAGGGGTCAGCTGAACTCTGGGGAATGCCTCGGAGGGTCTCAGCTTGACCCTGGAACACCTCGTTCTCCAAGAGAAGCCAGGTGAGACCCTTCCAAGCTGGAGCAGCCTCTGTCCATGTAAAAGGACCCCTAATCTCCAGAAGCTTATGGTGCTTCTCGGGTTGATGCTGATGTCAGTGTGGAGTGGAGGAGGGGGTGGGGCAAGGGCAGGTGCAGAACTTGAACCGGAGCCCCAGTTTCCTGACACCCTCGTCCCTTCGGTGCCGGTGCCGTGTGGAGCCCGCTTGCATCATTATGCCCTCCGGTGAAGTGTGCCAGTGCTGCTCAGGTCAGCGTTTCTGACAAGATCTTGGGCTCTTCGCCCAGCCGCCTGAGTTATCTGCTGGCATCTCTAGAGCAGGGGGAGCTTTCTTGGAAAGCTGGTGCCCCTTATTGGGAAGTGGTTTAGCAGGACATACTCCACAGGCTTCCAGCCAGGGGTGCCGAGCACTTCGCCTTACTCTGCTAAGTGCTTTCTCTGAAGACAGCTGTGGTGCCAGAAAGACTGTATCTGGTGTGTGTTCGCAATTCAAGCCCAGAGCTTGCAAAACTCTCAGTTTCCTGAGGATGTTTGTTATGCTAATGAGGCAGGCCCCCTGGAAGCTGCGGTACCAGGGCCATCCCTGGAAGGATCCAGCATGTGATGATAGAGTTGGGACATACAGCCCCTTGACCTCCAGCGAGGGTGGGGAGTGCTGCAGATTGAGTTCCACTGGGTGACCGGGGATTTAATCACTTGTGCCTAATCCTGAAACCCCCGTGAAATCCTTGGACACTGAGGCTCAGAGAAGATCTGCGTTCAGCACACTTCTGGGCACACCCCATCTGCAACCTTTATGATAAAACTGTAATCCTAGATATAGATAGTGTTTTCAGGAGTTAGCAAGTTACTGATCATGAGTGGGTTGTAGAAACTCGGATTTTGGAAGCAATTGGTAGGAAGTGCAAGTGGCCTGCGGACAGCGCCCACACACACACCCTGCCCCCAACACTCATGGCTGGTGTTTGAAGTGAAGGCAGTTGTGGACTCTATCCTTACCCTATGGGGCCTGGGAGAACTCCAGGAAGTTCAGGTCAGAGTGTGTTGTATTGTGTACACCCAGCTGGAGTGGAAACAGAATAACCACTTGCAAGGACCATGGTCCTGTACAGCTGCAGCCAGTTCTCTGCCGGTGGCAGAAGGGGGCACTAGTAGGGCTGCTCCTGCCGGTCTTGCTTCTGCACCGGACTCTGCTGCCAGGCCTGCTAATGTGGGAAGTCAAGGCCAGGAGCCATGGTCCCAAGCCTACTCTCCAAACTCCACTCTCTCGTGCACAAAGGCCTGGTTTGCACAGCCTTGGATTCTGCAGTGTCTCTTGCTCCCAGCTGTTGAGACCTGAGGGAGGGACTCTCAGGAACAGAAGTCAGCTTAAAACCATAGGCCGGTCCTCTGGGCCAGGTGGGGCAAGGAAGTGCTGAATTAATAGCTAGTAACTGGCATCCCCTGATGGCATCAGCACTGTCCTCAGAAGAGAGCAGGGCCCCCTCTGCTTAGCTCACCTCTGGAGAGGAGAGAAGAGCTGCCTGCTGTGGTCAACCCAACACACTCAAGTTACTTGCTCGATGTGTTCCTGTCCTCAGCGGCTGCTCAATCTTGAGTCTAGCTGAAGCCAGGGAAGACTTTGGGCCGTGGCAGCAAATTAGGAATCAGCTTCTTTGCTTCTAAGCTGGCTTATTGTGTCCTTCCCACTCAGCTCAGACCCTGATTTGTGTTCCCTCTGGGGAACCCCCATGCACCCTTGGCTGATTTCTCTGCTCCTTGCCCATGACCCAGGCATTGGGTCCATCATCACAGTGCCTTTTTCCCCAATCAGGAGCCCTCTTTGTTGGCCTTTGCACCCTGTGGCATGAGCTGTGAAGCTGCCCTTCCATTATGTGTTCCAGACAGCATGTTTCCTTTGGCCAAAGACGAAGGATTTCCTTTTTATGTTCAAGCCAACATGTTGTGCGATAAATTCCAGGTTACTCTGGCCAAGAAAGACCTTTTTGGTGGAATAAAGGCTCTAATATTCCCTTTGCTATTTGAAAATAAAATGTGTATACATCATAGAAATTATCTAAAAGAGCAGAAATTCTAAAAAGCTGGGAGAAAATAACCCATAATATGATCCAGAGACAGCCATTGCTGGCCATCTGGCTTGGTTCCCTTCTTGGGAGGTTTTTGAAGGATAAACATCAGAGGCCTCTCCCTTCCCTACGCAGTGTGTCAAGGATAGGCACACCATTCCAGGGCCACTAGCAGCAGGTTGTGTTGGATTTCACCATTTCATTCTATTATACAATTGCTGAGACACTCAAGTTTTCTGTGTTTTTCACTTCCTGTACATGATCTTTTCATCTCTAGATGGTCTGCTTTGTTCCTTTTCAAATCCACTCTTCTTTTTTGAATAGTCTTCTGTTACGACTCTTCTTCCTCTCTTTGTTTTAAAGATTTGTTTTCTAGTGTTTCGCCTGTTATTTTTGGTTCTTGTAGATGCGGATTCCATCTCATCATGATTCATTTCCATTTTCTCTCTTTGTGAGTTGGGAGAACACCAGCTCATCTTCAATGGAGATTGTGTCTTCTTTGAGGTCTTCTTGGGTAGTAGATGTCCCTACAGAATGGTTCTGTGCATGGATCTGCTGGGACCCATGGGTTTCAGAGACTTGGGACTAGTTTCTGTTACATTCTTGGCTTAAGATTCCTGTTTCACATCTACACATGACACGTTTGTGGTTCTGGTTCCTCAAAAGAGGCTCTTCCTTTTCCCACCCAGACTTTGAGGGATAAGTTTTCTCACCACATCTCCAGGAAAGAAACCTAGTCTTTTACTTTAGGCAGTGCTTTAAGAGTTCTGGCTCTTAGCCCTGCCCTTAGCGCAGCTGCCAAAAGCCCTAGGTCCTAGGGCCTTCATCTTGGTCTGACACCTTGATTGGCCTGTACTATGGCCACTTTGCCTTTCCTCTTGGGCAGAGTTCCCCTCTTCATTTCTGGCACCCGTGGATTCATCTTTCCTTCTTTCAAGCTCACATTTATTTATGTTTGTTCTGGGTGTGAGTGTCCCCATTAGCTCAGAATGCAGTGTTGGCAGAACCTTCAGACTCCTGCTTTTAATGGCAAAAGATGAGAAGGCTCTGGTGTATGGAAACGCCTTTCATTCTGGTTTTATCTTTAAGAAAGATCTGGAGTCTTCTTTTGAGTAGTCATTGAGCACCTTGCCGTCTGCATGTCTAATGCCCCTTCCTCCCACCCTGATCTGAATATTATAAGCCGTAGTGGATGCCCTCTAGGTATTGCCCCACACTGGAGGGTGAAAACACCTACCTCCAGGTCTGGCTTATCCAGAAGAGCACACTAGGCCCATGCCTTATTACCTCAAAGGGTCCTTTCAGGGATAACTAGAATCAGTGACCTAGGTGAATCCTATTCAAGGCAGTAACTCTGTTATATACAGGCTATCCCAGAGATAGCTGGGAAGACTGACCTGGCGGTCATGTACTGGTGGAATCACATGACAAGAGTCATGCTTGGGCCTACCTTGAGGAAGGGACTGTAGCTTAGTGGTTAAGAGCCTAGGCTCTGAGCCAGAAAGCCTGGGTTCAAACTCTGGCTCCCAATTTACACAGTAATTGTGGGCAGGTGGATTTTTCTCTGTATGCCTCAGTTTCCCATCCATGTATGGAGATGCTCATAATTTCTATCTCAGATTGGAAGAGTTAAATGGATTACTTTGTATAAACAGTGTTATGTGCTCAGTAAATGCTAGTGGCTATTGTTACCCGGCTGCTGGTCCCATGATAGCATTTTCCTGTTTTGGAGTTACTTGTTATTCTCCCCAGAAAACCCTAATTTGAGTTCTCTAAGACACTTTATGAAGCTTTCTGATGAGTAGTCACCTCTGAAGGACTCTGTTTCTAGTGATTTCATTTGGGCCTCCTGAAGTAGACAAGAGGTGAGGGGATATCCTGGCTCAGCTGTAGGGTCCCAAGGGGGCCACCAGTGGTGGGGGGAGGGGTTGAATATGTGGATTGGTGCCATGGAAAAGGGAATGGGAATTGGAGGGGAACTAGTCAGACCCAGCCTTGCGTGGATGGCCCTCCCTCACAGCCTTTTAGTGAAGCACAGCGTGTGCATGCCGGAAGAGTCGTTTCCAGCAAGACAGGTGTGCCCGCTGAGCGGGGCGCGGAGCGGCGGGGGACGTGCGTTCCAGTTATTAGGTGGTTCTTAGAGTGAACCAAACTGCTTGCCTGTAACTCCTTCATTCATCTCAGTTCTGGTCTGTAGAGTGACAAAGCACATGGCTTTGTCCACGCGTCAGTCCTTCAGATGGTGGAGACACTGGCTTGTTTCCTCCCGGTCGTCTTGTCCCAGCTGTGAAGTGGTAACTCCGTTGCAGGTCTGGGGGCCACAGCCTCAGAGCCCCTCGTCACTCACCTGCTTCCCCACACCTGGCCCTGCTCTCACGGCGGTGCCTCATGCCCTCTGTGCCCCGTAGGAGGAGATGGCCGAGCTGAAGGCCCAGCTCTACCTCCTGGAGAAGGAGAAGAAGGCCCTGGAGCTGAAGCTGAGCACGCGGGAGGCCCAGGAGCAGGCCTACCTGGTGCACATCGAGCACCTCAAGTCCGAGGTGGAGGAGCAGAAGGAGCAGCGCATGCGATCCCTCAGTTCCACCAGCAGTGGTGGCAAAGACAAGCCCGGCAAGGTAGGACCCAGGGCGCGGGGACCCCTGGGGCTCCTCCCACCCGGTTACCGCCACCACCCCTCACTGCCCCACAGCCTCAATTTCCTTATTTGGGAACTGCAAGCCATTCTAGATAACCTTAAAGAAGGTAATGTTTTGGGTGCACAGAAACCAAGTCCACTTTTTTAAAATGTTTTATTTATTTTTGAGAGAGTGCAACCAGGGAGGGGCAGAGAAAGAGGGGGACAGAGGATCCAAAGCGGGCTCCACACTGACAGCACAGAGGCCGATGTGGGACTCAAACTCATGAACCAGGAGGTCATGACCTGAACCAAAGTTGGATGCTTAACCGACTGAGCCACCCAGGTGCACCCCAGATCCACATTTTTAAAAATTGCACTTTATGTACTCGCTAAAGCATTTTCATATGCCATAGTCTGACGGGGGGAGTGATCTGTGCCGGTGTCCAGGGTTCTAGTACTGGGCCACCTCCTTGAATCTCCCACCTCACACCGCAGCCATCACCTGTTGGTCACATCTGAACTGATCAGTGCATTTGCTGCCTCCTGTAAATCTCATCTGTGAGAAGGAGTAGGTAACCCCATTTACATGAGGGAAGGGAGGCTCACATGAAGTAGGGGGGCTCACAGCTAATAAGTGGCAGAATGGGGATTTAACCCAAGTTTGGCTCACAGTCCTCCCCCTCTCATCCGTATTGCCACCTGGACTTGGCATTTCTGCCATGGGTGAAGTGGGAAGCCGGAAGCAGCCGAGGCAGGCAAGCCCCGGATCACATAGAGAGTGTCACAGAGCTCTGTGACTGTCAGGTGGTGTCATCTCGCACACCCGCATTCCCATGAGCCCAGAAGTCTTTGTCTCTAGAATCCAAGCTCATCCTGTCATACTGTCTCTCAGAATTATTCCAAATACTGCATTGGAGAAAAAAATACTCTGGACCCTAAAGAAGTACATCCCTCATCCCAGGGTACTGAAATTCTGTTTTCTACGTCGTGCTTTCTATTCCTAATAAATGCTAGCTTCTCTAGACCCCAGTTTGTTTCCGGCCCAGCACCTGGGGGCATATGCTGACGTACCCATCTAATGAAAGGCTTCTCACAGCCCAGATGGAGGGGTGTCCCTGAGAGAGTTAGTACCTGGAAAGGAAGCAACTTGCTGATTGGCATGGCAGTGAATGATCACTCCCTAAACAACTAAGAGCTTTGGGGCGTGCTTCACAAAGGGCCAGCGCTACACTCTGTCCATCTCTCACCTAAGAAGGAGAGAAGGGAGTTCATGGGCTTGGCACCTGGCTGGGCCACCTCTCCTAAGACCTACCTGCTTTCCAATCATCCGTTCTTGTGCTAGATATGAGCAGGTGCTGATGAGGACTGGAGGCAGTTTCATGAGTTTACAATCCAGAGAGGGACACGGGTGATTGTCACACAGTGACCTAAGACTGAGGATCAATTCCCAGTGCAACAGGAGGCCACAGACCTAACACAGAGCCCAGATGTGGAGATTTGGGACAGGTTTCCTGAATGGAGGCCCAGTGGACAGTGGGAGCTAACTTGATGAAGAGGGTTGGGGAGGAGAAGTCAGTCTGCTGTAAAGTCAATGGAATGCCAAGGACAGAGACCCCCTGTAGGGGGAAGAGGATTTGATTTGGCCGAAGAGATCGGCTGGCTGTGCTGTCCTGAGGACAGTGAGAAGTAACTGAAGGCTTTGCAGTAGGGGGTGACGTGCGCAGTCTGGGCTTAGGGAAGGTCACTGTGTGGGTGCCCCATGAAACCATCTGCCCAGGGCCTGGGGAGTCAAGGCCTGGTAGGCAGCAGCCTCTGAAGAGTTTCATATGGTAACATCTGGGGCTCAAGAAAATGGGGTTTCCCATTCCATGCCAACATGGAACTTTGTAGAGCCATTTGAGTTGGTTACCGGTCACTTTGGGACAGAGCTGAGAGACAGAGCTCCAGTGTTCTCCTGTGTGTGCTTAGGGTGTGGTGGAAATGGACTTGGTGCGTTCTTGCCAGAAGGCCCATGAGCTGAGCTTTTCCCCCTAGTTCTTGGTGTTTATTTTGACTGGGGGAAGTGCTGTGTTTTGTGGAATGGCTTCAAAGCACAGAAAGCTGATGGAAAAGGCCAGATGGTTTTATTTTTAATTTTTTTTTTTTTTTTTTTACATTGGAGTAAGAAGCTTTGTAAGAGTACCTTATGTTGTTCAGGTAATGAAATTACTGTAAGCTGATTATCTTGCCTTTCAAATATTAGATCCATTTACTGTTTCAATGAAATCTCCCTTCTGGGCTATTGATTTGGTCTTGTTTGTCAGTGGGTGAGGCGGGCAGTCTGCAGGAGGGGTTGCCTGACTGTGAAGAGCCAGAAGTCAGCATCTTACGGTTTTCAGGTCACACACAGCCCTCTGCAAGTACTTAACTTTGCCATTGTAGAACCGTAGTGTGAAAGCAGAGGCCACGCCGACACAGAGGGGTGTGGGCTGTGTTCCAGTAACGCTTCATTTATGGATGCTGAAGTTTCATATAATTTCTACACATCACAAAATATTCTGTTTGTCATGATTTTAAAAATAGAAAACAATGTAGGGCGCCTGGCTGGCTCAGTCAGTTCAATGGCCGATTTGGCTCAGGTCATGATCTCATGGTTGGTGGGTTCGAGCCCCGCGTTGGGCTCTGTGCTGACAGCTAGCTCAGAGCCTGGAGCCTGCTTCGGATTCTGTGTCCCCATCTCTCTGTCCCTCCCCCATTTGGGCTCTGTCTCTGTCTCTTGAAAATAAATAAACGTTGGAAAAACTTTTAAAAAAGAAAAAGAAAACAATGCTTAGGCTTCAGGTCTTAAACAGGTGGCAGGCCAGGTTTGGATCTAGAACATCCACTCTGGCCCCATAGGGTGGGTGTTGTGCTTGTTTTAAAACCTCTCTCTAGCCAACAACCTGGGTCCCAAGTCTTATCGAAGCTGCGTTCAGTTTTGGTAGGATTTGTCTCTCTCTGCAACAGAGACTAACTACCAAACATGTCCAGTGAGAGGCACTGGGTAAAGAGTCTTATGAAACGTTCACATCGCATGACTGCTGATACACGAAAGGAGAGGGTATTGGAATCTCCACAGCTCCCAGGGCTGGTGGATGGGGCGGGGTCTGCAGGAGAAGGGAGAGGGGCAGGGAAGGCAGTGCAGGTGGAGGGGAGCGTGCAGAGGCTGCTGCAGAGGCCCCCCGGGTGTGGCCCCTGTGTCCTCCTGTCATCTGGACTCCTCGTGCCCAGGTGGTACTTCTTTGTGGTTCTCCTCCAATCACAAAATAACTTTGTTTACATGCCGTGTCCTGCAACAGACTGCAAGCTTTTTATTCTCGAGCCTGGGTGTAGTAGATCCTCGGTAAAGGTCTGCCTGAGCAAGTGGTCGGACAAGGGCCTTTCCGGGCACTTGGTCAGGCAGCTGCTGGCCTCTGTCTCCACACAGGAAAGTAGGGAGCTCAGAGAGTGTGATGATTGCTTTGTGAGTAGTCCTAACTCAGTTTAGGATTGAGGAGTTTTGGCCCTTGTGCTTCCTCATCTATAAAATGAGATGATTGTGTTTAGATGATGCCGAGTTTCCTGTCTAAGGTTAAGAGACGAGTGGGGTCACAACTGAAACTAATGTAACATGTGTCAACTATACTTCAGTGTTTAAAAAAAGGGACAGGGGCGCCTTCATGGCTCAGTCGGTTAAACGTGTAACTTCAGCTTAGGCCATAATCTCATGGTTCATGAGTTCGAGCCCCATGTTGGGCTCCGTGCTGACAGTGTGGAGCTTGCTTGGGATTCTTGCTCTCCCTCTCTCTCTGCTCCTCCCCAACATGTGCTTGCTTTCTCTCTCAAAATAAATAAATAAACTAAAAAAAAAAATAAAAAAGGACAAAACTGGAGGGTGCACTTCTGTTTTCTCCCTTTTTTCCTAGGTGATTACACTGAACTCACTAAAGACTCTAAATCTAGAGAAGATTGATTTTCTCCCAAGAAGTGGGTTGGGGGCAGGGGGGCAAGGAGACTCAGGTATATTTCCCACTTCTATGAATCATCGGGGCTTAACCCAGTGGGGAAGAGCACGGACCTGCAGCCAGCTGACCTGGGTTTGAATGCTGCTTCCACCACATCCTAGCTGGTAGAACCTGGGGCAACATAACTTCTCTGTGCCTTAGTTTTCTCCTTGGTAAATGGGGATAATGACTGTACCTGCCTCAAAGTGTCACCACGATGACTAAGTGGGACCACCTGTGTGGTGTGTGGAGTGCTCGGAGCACACCGGGAGTCCCCCTCGGCCCCCCCCCCCCCCCCCCCCCCCCCCACAGCCCACAAAGATCCCGAGAAGTGGGCCAGAGCCACCTTGTACTTCCGAGGTGCCCTCAGTCTTGGCTCCAGGTCTAACCAGATGTGTTTGCTGCCTCCCCCTCCATCCCCCAGGAGTGTGCTGATGCCGCCTCCCCAGCCCTGTCACTGGCTGAAATAAGGACATCATGTAGCGACAGCGATCTGGCTGCCGAGTTCGCCAATGCCATCCGTCGGTAAGCACCCTTCCCGTGACCCTGGTGAGCAGTTTATTCCAGAAGCAATGGCGTTGTTCTAAGATCTTCTGGCTGCTCATGTCAGCTCTTCATGGGTTATTACAGACTGGCAGGTGCTCATATGTCTACTTTTACCGAGGCCTTGGAGGCTCAACGTGGAGAAGCCACGCTGGTGCCAGGCCTCTCAGAAGGGGAGTGGCAGGGGACAGCATACAGGCAGTCATTTCACCAGCAAGTAGAAAATGTCTTTGCTATTTCGTCGTGCTGTTGCATTGACTAGAACCTTCAGGACAGTGTCAAATGGTGATGATCAAACAGGCATCATCGGGGGAATACTTGCTTTCAACATCACTGGCTCTTTCCAGTCAGAGGCTTCATATGTGTATTTATTCAGTCCTGGACATTTTTTCTCTACTGTTTCAGTGTTTCTTCCCTTCCCTTCTTCCTCTCCTCCCGCAAGGAGGGTGCTGACTCCTCCAGATCGTCTTCCAGATCGTAACGTTGCATAGTCCCGCCTTCCTTTTGCAGCGCTATCCAGTAGGCATAGAATGCAAGCCACCTAGGAAATTTAACATTTTCTAATAGCCACACTCAAAAAGTAAAAAGAAAGCAGTAAATATACTTTATCTAACCCAGTGTATCCAAAATATTTCAACATGTAAACAGTCTTTTTTAAGAAATGTATTTAGTTTTTCTTCTTCTTCCTCTTCTTCTTCTACACCTTGCTCTTCCTCTTTCTTTTTCCTCACTACGTCTTCAAATATGGTATGTATTTTACACTCAAAGCACATCTCAAATTCAAGCCAAATTTTAAATGCACAGGAGCTCACACAGCCATTCTAGAAGGTTCTTCTCAGTTTTCCAGCTCACAAATGGATTCTAAGCTACACCCATTGTGTCTGGCTTCCATACTGTTTTCTGATTTGGGTGATGAAGTTGATCATCTCTTTTTTTTTTTATCTCGGTGATGAAAACTATCCTCTTTTTTTTTTTTTTTTAACAAGATGAGGCTATGTGAAGCTATTTATTAGACATATTCTAAAATGTTATTTTGTCTGCTGTATTAACTCTGTTTCTTCAGGTGAAAGTTCTTTTTTGAGTGGAGTTTTCTGACTCGGTCTGGGGTCACAAGCCAAACTTCTGGGCTCCCTGTTCCCCTGGCTGACAACAGCTCTCTGGCTACACATGTGGCCTGAGCATCTGGTCCCCTCCTGTCCAGATGGCTGACGCCTCTGGTCAGAGCACCTCTGAATCCCCTTCCTCCTTTCATAGCAGCATTTTTCTCTGTGCATTTTGGGTTGTCTCCCATTTCAAGAAGAAAAAATGTATATACCTTTCATTTTTTATGATTGCTCATGGTTTCTGGTATGCAAAGACCACTCCTTTTCTGACATGCTTGAGGATTTATAAAAAATGGGTTTCCTATTATTTCTGGGGACTTGGGATTGGAGGAGACGCTGCAGTAGACACTCAGGCTGCTGTCCTGACCCAGCTGGGCTGTTTATGTTACAGTGTGGCCTCCCAGCATGGGGGGGATGGAAGACTGCCTTGCGGGGGACTTCACTACCCTCCTAATTTACTCAGTGTCCCTGTTTGTCTCCCCTTCCAAGCCCTAATAGCTCTGATTTCACATTGCCAGCGCCTCTGGCCATGAGGTGAAATTGTAATTGTTTTGCTTGAGGCAGGAGGAGAAAAGCGGCCCAGGAAAAATGCCCTCAACAAATCCCAATGACTAGACTGTGCCAGAGACGTGGGACGCAGACCCACTCCCTGCTTCCAGCCGGGAGATGTTTGGATATTGTATCTGTAAGCTAAGCCCCTCAGTTTTTCACATCCCCCAAACCCCCAAGGCCTTTGCTGGCACAACGAGGACGCAGGTTCCGCTGACTAAACAGAGAGAGACTTCATTTGTTCTGTCAGTCACGATGGGCTTCCAATCACTGGCCGAAAGTTGGTTAGCATGGATTTCTAATCAAGACCCAGATAGATGGAGCCAAGAAAGAACCCACAGGGCTAGAGGAAAAAGGAAAATAACGTCATTATGCTGTAAATATAGCTTAGGAACTGGAACAATCATTCCGTGAGGGTATATAATACAGAGAACCTGAGAGCTGAGGTTTCGGGGTGTTTTTATTTTTTAACAATCAAGTGGAAACTCACATCTTCTTTGAAGGTCTTAAATCACTGCCAACTAGTGGTGGAAGTTAGCTGACGGAATCTGCTCTCTATTTTCAGCAATATTCCTCCCTTGGAAAAAGGATGGTTGCAGACACCAAAATTGTGGGCCCCAGCATCCAGGCTGCACAGAGCAGGGTAGAGAGGGGCTTGGGGAAAGGCTAAGCAGTGGTCCTTTCTTGAGGAGAAACCTCTCAGGAAGGTGCCTTGCTGCTCCTAGGTCACTGCCCCAGACAAGTCTTACTGCCAGTTACCTCGCTGGGTGTCAGCCTCCATCAAGTCTTTCCCCACCCAAACCCCGCTCCCCGTCCCTGTTTCGTTTGTGTCTTCTCCCAACCTTCTGTTTGGAACCCAACCAGGACTCCAGACAATCACAAGTTTACTGTGTAACTCCCATCTGGTCTGATTTCGTTCCCTCTACTTGCGTGAACATTCATTGTGGTTTATTGGCTCCAGCATTACCATAAAACCCCATCTGGATGACCAGGTTTCCAGTCTTGCACAGGAGGAGGTTTCTTATCAGGGCACCTCGTTTTTGCCGTGTTCTGCACAGGCTTTGTGCCGCACAACCCGTCTTTGTCTCTTGATGAACCCCTCGTCCTAGTAAAATTGAAGTGAATGACCTTTCCACCGAAGAAGTGAACAGTAAAAATGCAGTCAAGAATGTATTTTCAGAAATGACTCTTTTTGTACTGACGTGGTGCTTGTGTAGCCTGCCTTTGGGACTAGAGCACAGCTGAGAGGAGAGGCCATTTCATCTCAAGTCATGTTCTTGGGAGGCAGCGAGGAGCAGGTTTTGCTCTCCATGTGATGGGGGTGGGCTGGGTATTAGCACAGCAAGGCTGAGTAGTTTTCCCAAGGTCACACAGGGAGGCAGTTGGGGAAACTGTGTGCTTTGACCTTCTCTACTGGACCCCCGTGTGCAGGCAGTGGTGCTGACAGATGAGTGGGAGCTGAGCCCTTGGGTACGGGCTCCCCTGAAGACTCTGCCCGCTGTAGTGGGCGTGGTCTGGGCAGATAGGAACGCCTGTGTCCCTGGTACACGACTGTGCATCTGTCTTCCAAATGCTGAGATGCTGAAGGAAAATGAAGTGCTGGGGTCCGGGGCAGGGTTGGGGGAGTGGCAAACTTCCTCAAACTCACAGACCCTGGGTCCTGTTGGTTAGAAGGTAGAGATGCCGTGCTCTTCGGTCCTAAAGGACAGGGAAGAGTGGGGAAGGGGGCTTGTGACATGCCGAGCACCTCAGATGATTCCACATCCACCTGTCACTGGGCCCCCAAGCAGGACAGGATCCAGCTTGGTGGGAGACCAGAACCGGGCTCCAGGTCTCACACAATCACCTGCAGAGGCTGGCCACCCTGCTGGGGGCACATAGTCCCAGGCCCATCAGGGGCCCTGCTGAGCCCTTGAGGGAACTGGGATCTGCCACCTGTGCACACACGTGTGCCAGATCATTCTGTAAAATGCTGCTTAAAGGCAATCCATACGTGATAGTGGCCGCTCTGTCCAGGGGCCAGATGTGCCCGACTCCTCAAGCAGAGATGCACATAGACATCCTTTCCTCTGTCTGACGAGTAACAGGCCCACTGCTGCTTGGAGAGGAGTTGCACGTCAGATCCCTGAGAGGAGACCTCTGGGGCAGGTGGCCCCCCCCCCACGACCCGTGTGGTCACGAGACACCAGATCTGGGGGACCTGGATGTGTCCCAGTTGGGAGTGGAGCTAGCAGGAAGGGGAAGGCAGAGGAGGCAATGTCACAAGAACCAGGACAAGTGACAAGTGACACGAGAACCAGGAAAAGGCGGCCAGTCATTCAAAGTGCAGTTGGTGGAGAACGGGAGAGCTGGCTGGAGAAGGGTGCTGTGCAGGGGCAGAACCGTGAGGCACGGGTCGAAGGAAGGAGACTCCGGGGCACACCTGTGTGCTTGAGAAAGGGGGGTCTTTCAGCCTCACCAAGTGACTTTGTAAGATGCAGATCCAATGGTTACCCTGTATCAGCGTTCTGTTGCCATGTGACAAATCATCACAAGCTTATCGGCTGAAGACAGTGCCCATTTATTCGCTCATGGTGTCCGTGGGTCAGAAATACTGGGCACAGTGCGACAGGCTACTCTCGCTTAGGGCCGTGCTCTCATCTGAGGTCCTCGGGAAGAATCTGCCTCCAACTCCTGCCTGTTGGCAGGTCAGTTCCTTGTGGTTGTAGGGCTCACCCCCCCATTTTCTTGTTGGCTGTTGGCCAGTGATAACTCTGCTTCTAGAGGCCTCGAAATACCTTGTGCATAGCTACTCCTGTCCTCAAAGTCAGCAAGGAGAACCTCCCCGCTCATCAAATCCCTTTCCTGCTTTAAATCTCTGCCAGGAAGAGTCCAGCCCCTTTTAAGAGCTCACCTAATTAGGTCAGGTCTACCCAGAATAATCTCCTTATCTTAAAAGATCAGCTGTTTGGGGCCTTAATTACATCTGCAAAAATCACTCACAGCAGCACCTAGATGAGTTTTGATTGAATAACTGGGGTGTTGAAGGTGTGTCTATACACGCCTACGATCTTGGGGGCCATTTTAGAATTCTACCCAGCTCACCTGGTTACTTGAAACCTCCCAGTGACTCACAGCTGTTGGTGTCCAAACTCCTTAGCCAGTGTGTGATCTGAAAGCTGCCTGCTTCTCCACCCAAGCCCTCTATCATATGCCCCCCCTCTCACCCTGGGCCACACCAGACCACTTACTCTCTGTTGTGCCTCTGGGACTTCACTCCTGCCACTGCTCCTGCCCTCACACCACTTAACCCCACGCCTCAAGCACTCACATCAGCATGTCTCTACCCTG